TTATCAAAATGTTAAGGTAGTTTTCTAAAAATGTGGAGATTTCAAAAGTAAATATTTATAAAGGTGTCCAAAGTTTTTACATTTTTGAGTTATCGAAATTTATCGAGCCATCGAATTTCACAGTTATCGAAACTGGTCGAGTTAACGAATTTTGTTGAGTTATCGAATTTTAGTCTTCTGGAAATTCATCGAACTATCGATATGTATCAAATCAAAATTTATCGATAAACTTGAATGTATCGGGTCAATGCCAAGTCCTGCCGAAGTCCTCCAAAGACCTCAGCTAAAAAAAAAATTTTTACGTTTTAGCAGAAGATTTTCCGGTTAGTTAATTTGTACCGTATAAGTATGGCTACGTGTTAAGTTAGAAAACCTCTCCAAGATTTCTAAAACTAGAAAAACTGTCGAATTTCGACAGTAACTGGCACTCTAGTCTTCATTAAATCTCACAATGGAGACATAGTATTTATTACTCACATAATAATCTCGTTACTCGCATGTTCCGTATATGCACCATCAACTTGAATCAATACAACACAACATATTGTGCGATAACGAAACTGTTTTTCGTATCGATACTAAAGTGTGTTGCGTGTATATGTACGTACATCCATGCATGATTCGTGTGAAATACAAGTGCTTGATTGTATCAAATTGTTCGAATCGATTCAAAAATATGTTGCGTGTATACATATGTATATATGTACATTAAAGTGGTCCAAAAATGTATGTAAAGAAAATAAGGTCGCATATTTAAAGCCGCCAGCCCCTAGGATTGTTCTATACCAAAAAAAAATATACACTATTTTTTTATTTTAAAAAAAGAACAAATTAGGGTGTGCTCAAAGCGCTCAAAGTTTTCAATGTATTTTAAATGGAAAAACAACTTTTCGTAGAAATAGTGTAGAATTCTTGAAAATCAATATTTTTCGATCGAAAAAGTTTGCTTATCTTCAGGAGGTTCCCGGTAATAAAACCCAATTGTTCCTTTAACAATTTTTTCATGGTAACTATGTTTTATAGGTCCTAGAAAATGCAATGGGGGGACCAATAAAAAATCTTTAATCATAATATGGTTAAATAAACAACTGGATATTAATATTTGAAGTCTCCTGAAGAGAACCACGGTTTTACGATGGTAAAATATTGATTTTCAAGAGTTTTATACCATTTTTACGAAAATTTGTTTTTTCCCCATATAAAATACATGGAAAACTTTGAGCGCTGTGAGCACTCCCTAAATAATGTACATGTATGTATGCATATGTACGAACGAACATTCCCAGCAAAAACTTTTCATTTTTTGGAAAGGACTTATTTTATGCAATGGCAAGAAATTTTACATTTATTCGGTTACCTCCAATGACATGCACATGTGAAAATAATGCATTATGTAAACGAAAAGGTAAGCGGTTACCCTCTATTGGGGAACCACTTTTTGAGTGGAAGCGCGCACTGCTTACCACTACACCACAGCGGTCACAGTATATTTATGTAGAAATCACTCCGAAATTCACAAAGAAGTGCATTTTTCAGACCGAATTTATTAATAAATTAGTGACCGAAAATTACAAAATTAGATTTTACAATAAAGTGTACACCCTTGACTACAAATGAGTGAAAATCGGGTCACCCATTCGGACACAAAAGTCCGAAATCATTGGGCAAATAACTAAACCGTACCCAGTTAAATCGTTATTTGGTTTTCCTCAATAAACAATTGCACCAAGATGACGTCACGCACACAGCTGATTCTGTCAAATTCACAAAGAGCGGATTAGCCCGCTACCGCGATGGGCGCAATCTGTATTTCTCTAAATTGTGAGTATTACCGCAGCCGTTCTGCGATGAACATGATGCTTGGGGAGACATAAATAGTTTTTTCGTAACGTTTCATACCCTTCCTCCCGTAAACTGTTTTTCCCTTTCTCTAGTCCTCGCTCGCACTTTGACTGCTTCGCGGGCCAATAAAGAAAGTGCCCACCTCTGCCATAGAGGGTGTCCTGCGATCTATTGGTACCGCCAGTGGAGAATGTTGTGTTTTTGTTCTGATTTTTTCCTCACTTTTGGAAGAATCAGGGATTTCCAGCCATAAACGAGCACACAACACGCAAAATTTTATCAGCTTATTGGCCACCCTGCGAAAATCTTTGGACCATGTGGTCCATTTGTGCCATATTGGACTACATACTTACAAAATGCTCCTCTGTAATTCAGTAGCGGCCCAACTCGGGTCTACACCAGCTTATTGTTACCCGATCTAGGAATGTTCGATATCGTATCGATTATTCTGAATATCAATATTTTATGGTGCGATAATCGATTTTTCAAAACGATATTCCCGGGTCGACATATCGAAGACATCGATACTTTATCCGCATTTCCGATATTTAAGTTTAAATTTATTTTTTGTCTACAAAAAAGTTTATGGGAAAATGATAAAGTAGGTTTAACCAGCAGCTTTATTTATTTAGCTCTAAAGTTTGACAAACCGCTGGCATGGTGTATACGGCTCTTAACTTCTTGCCACCGTTAGACTTATTGTCTTGTTCTATCTTCTTTAACAATACAGTCGACCGGCATTTCGTTTTAATCCTCAGTAAATACTCAAGATTGAAATAACACAATTAGGTGAGTTGGTAAGCAGGTCTAATATTCTATTCAATTGGGAGTAGGATTTCCAACATAGATTTTTCCGATATCGATATTGTTCAGCCCGATATATCGCCATATAGATTTTACATGTAATGAATTAAATCGATTCATGATATCGATACTTTCTTAAATATCGAACATTCCTAACCTGATCATTGTTCGAGGTTTAGGCTGTGTTGCCGTGAGGTAGGTACTCCATCGTGTAATCCCTTTATGAAGTTTTATGCAACTCTGATGTAATGCAGAGCTGGAGTATATGGCCCTGCGCAAGGACATTTCAGTGTTGATTGGACCACATTCTTAATATGCATTTTGGTCAATTTAGGGTACTCCTTGACCATTGTAGCTGAACGTACGTAAAAGCATACACATGTATGAACGGCCGGCAAAGCGATGAAATGTATGCGCTGTCATATTTACGCACGTAAACTACGTCGGCACATAAATACACAAACGCGTATTGGCTAGCTTAACATACGTACATACATATGTATGTACGAATGGCTGCATAGTGGAGCCGCCGACAAAGCGACAATAAAAGCGAAGAAAACAAACACAAAATCACTTCAATTTGACTTCGATACTTCGCTTGAATTCTATGAGCAGACATAACTACACACTTATGCCGTAAACAGAATTGCAGCAGATAGCGGGTAACGGGCCGACGGGTACCCGCTGTCAAAATTTTAACACATTGAATGGCATGAAATTGCACAGAATTGCGGCGGGGACGGATTTCTTGCCGTCGGTTATTTTTACGGCGGGAAATTATTTAGATTCATTTCTATTTTTCTCCTTCGGGTCGAAGACTCAGGGTTGCTTTTCTGCCCATTTCATGTCAAAAGCATTCAAACAACAAGCAAGCAATATTTATTAAATTTCAGCAATAGATTTAATTTAAAAAGAAGNTTTGGTTGTTTACAAACAAAAGCATTCAAACAACAAGCAAGCAATATTTATTAAATTTCAGCAATAGATTTAATTTAAAAAGAAGTTCAGTTTTATTCAGTTGGAACAATGAGCTTCAACGAGTTGCTGATAGAGGAAGTGCGAAAATATAGATGTATCTACAACTTATCTCGGAAAGACTACCGAAACGTGCAGAAGAAGGACCAAATTTGGGAGGAGATTGGGAAAGTGGTAAATGCAAGCTGTAAGTATTATGAAGTGCGCAATGTGGGAGGTAGTTTCATGCTCGAGACAGGTCATGTGGCCACCGGGAAATACAAGCTGAATCTCGTGACAGCCGCCGTGCCGTAGAGCTGCTGTGGTGCCCGCTGGATTGTTGGTGGAGCTGGTGTTGCTGTCGTTATTGGTGCAGTTGTTGTTGTTGACGGTGCTGCTGGCACTGCTGCCCCCAGTCCTCTACATCAACGCCAGCATTCCACGTCGGCAGTTTTAGCTTTAAAATGTTTCGAAGTGCGTTCCCACAAAAGTGCGTTCCAGCGGTAGTAAGGTTAGGAGGTTTTACAGGAAAAGCTGTTTTCGTCTTTAATAAACCATATGTAAATCCTGCCAATCTTACTGCCGTTGGAATGCACATAATAATTTAGATCACTTATATTTACTTATTTGAGTATATTTATTTTCTATGGAATAACATACTTAGCGGACAGTTGTAGACGGCGATGGAAGACTCTTCGGGACACATATAAAAAAATAAAGCGTGGTAACGAGCTAGCCTCCGGCAGTGGCGCACCAGTACCCAGTAAAAAATGGAAGCTCCAAGAGACATTATCCTTTTTGGATGATTGCAAAGATTCGAGACCGTAAGTTTGCATAAGTAAGAATAGGTGTCGTTGTGCTATAAAAAAATAAAAGGTGGGTGTGGTTCGCCCTTTCCCCCACTGATTCTAAGTGTAAAAACAATTGTTGTACAAATCAATAGGTGATGTGTAAGAGAGGGGTAAAAGTGAAATTTTCTAAATTTTTAAGAGCTTATATTTCGAAATGTTTTGAAATGATTTTAATTTTACGGTTTCAAAGGAAATTAAAATACCTTTTATCTATATGGATATTTATACATATATATATTACATATGTACATATTTCGAGAAAAACAAAATACCAAAGTAATGCCATTTTTTATAAAGATTATCTATTACTACGTTTATACCTTAGCTATTTGCAGTGAAAAGTTATTGTTCAATATTGCCTGATATAAAAAGGCAATAATATGACCACCACCACCTTTGATATATAATTTTATATAGTTAGGTATGTATGACCCAGATATAATAAAAAAACGCGTTTTAGCATATAGCATATAAAACATAAATCTTTATAAAAAATAGCATTACTTTACATATGTAAATATGTAATATATATATGTATAAATATCCATATAGATAAAAGGTATTTTAATTTCCTTTGCAACTGTAAAATTAAAATCATTTCAAAACATTTCGAAATATAAACTCTTGAAAATAAAGGGCGAGCCACACCCACTTGTTCTTTTTTTCTAGCTCAACGGGGACTATTCTTTACTTGATCCTGTATGATAATAGATCATTCGATACGCTTATGAGCCTAATTCTTTTATCAAAATTACTTACTTCGCTTTTTCTTTATTAAGGACTGTCGGAAGCGTTGAAATACCAGAAGTAGAAGATTTGTCAACAAGTTTCTTGGAAGGTATGGAGGAGCTATTGCCAGAAAATTCCACCATGGTGGAGGACTTGGATACTCAACCTTCATGTTCTTCGGGACGTTCAAGCGGAAGGGCAACTAAGCAACGCGCCGATGCCGAACTGAAGGATACTTTTGCCAAAGCCTTGGAAGAATGCGTTGCCTCAGTATCTGACCTTGCCAAAGTGCCACGAAAAAATTCAACGTTCTCGCTTTTTGAATCCTTTGCTCAAAAAATAATAGATGCAAACTTATCCCAAGCCGATGTTTATAGAATAGAAGCAAAAATTATGTTGGTACTGCATGAGGAATTGGCGAAATGTTACAAATGAACTAATAATAATATTTGGTATTAAATTGACTGCTGTACTTATTAATAAGTCGTGAAATTCTTAGTTTTTTGTCTAAAAATTGTTTGTATAAAACATATTTTCAACAAGTAATACAATAAACTAGATTTATTTAAAATATGCTAAGTAATACATTTTAAAATTTTGCAAAAAATGTGTTTTATATAAACGATTTTTAGACAAAAACCTAAGAATTTCCACGACTTATTTATAAGTGCAGCAGTGAATTTAATACCAAATATTATAATTAATTCATTTGTAACATTTTGACAATTTTGAAGTTCCTATATATTAGTGCAGCAGTGTATTTAATACCAACGTATGAAATGTAGTTTAGTTTACTTATAACATTTCGCCAATTTTGAAGTTCCTATTTATTTGTCCAACAATATTTAATACAAAAATATTAAATATAATTTTCAGTTAATTTTTATTCAGTTTATTTATTATGTTTTTAGTTTACTTGTATTTTTATAGTGATTAGTTTATTTATAACATATCAAATATACATAGTTATTGCCTTATTTATAAAAATTAGTAAAATTTGATGTACTGGCCGTGACAATCCGATAGCGCAGCAACATTTTGATCAGTTTTCGCTATTTTTTGTTTGTTTAATGCTCATTAATTGTCTATAAAAGGTACAGCTGTTTATTTAACAAATACCATATAAATCAAAATTTTAAACTTTGTAAAAAACTATTAGAATTTCTAGAAAAATTTTTGGTATGCAATTTCATAGCTTATTAAATTTTAGTATAATATAATGAAAGTTTTAAGTTTTTAAAAAATCACGTTGATTTTGAGATCATTTTTTTGTTGACTGTATTCCATGTGTTACGGTCAAAATAAAAATGATCTAAAAATCTACTCGATTTTTTAAACACTAAAAACTTTAATTTTATTATACTAAAATTTAATAAGTTATGGAATTGCATACCAAAAATTTTTCTAGAAATTCTAATAGTTTGTGGAATTTTTATAATTTTTTTGCAAAGTTTAAAATTTCGATTTATATGGTATTTGTTAAATAAACAGCTGTACTTTTTATAGAAAATTAATGCCTAGTGCGGGTGTTTATCCAGAAAACGAAGCCTAACCACTTAACTATAAGCAAAATATATATATGTGCATACATTTTGTTTATAGTTATGGGGTAAATATTTTTAGGCTCCGTTTTCTGCATAAACATCCGCAGTCTAGTAATGAACATTAAACAAACCACAAATAGAGAAAACTTATCGAAATGTTGAGGTGCTATCGTTTTGTCCCGGGCTGTACTTACATATTTATTTGACAAGAAGTGTATGAGTATGTTATAAATAGAATTTGAAATTAAATTAAATTTTAAATCAAATAGAAACAAATGAAATTGAATTTTAATAAGTACAGTGGTAAAAGTTACAGCACTGAAGACACGCTTAGCAACAAATCGGATGCGGCGTCCTGTATAAATGAAATAGATTGAGTATTATCGCAACTTTAATCAAGGGGAATCAAGGGGGCCAGTGTGTCTTTACTCCTAAATGCATCTGCACACGACCGATTCGCTTGGGCGATTCTGCAAGAAGGCAGCCCAGCATGGGATTCCCTCCAAGTTCCTGGCACCTCAACACCATTTTCGAGGTGGTCCACGAGTTCTTCATTGAAATATCCACTCTTCTTATCGAGCATTAGATAGTTATGCAGCACAATTGTCGCTAACACAATTTTATCCACATTGTTTGGTGCTGCGTAAATATTCGTGTGTAGAATTCTCCACCTGCTAGCCAAAATTCCAAATGAATTTTCAATATGCACACGAGCACGAGATAATTTTTTGTTGAAGTTGTCCTTTATAGCTGATAAGTTCCGGCCAGGATATGGACGCATCAAGTTGTGTTTCAGTGGGAATGCATTATCTCCCACAAAATAATATTGGAATGTTGTCTCTGTTCCTAAAATATTGAAAAATGTAATTAACAACAATATAAAAATATATGTACATATGTATATGTTTACGGAAAATTATAATTACCAGGAATTGCATTATCTGGCGGAATATTTAAGTGTCCTCTTAAAATCATTTTGCCAAATGAACTACGTGAAAAAATTCCACCATCACTCTCGCTTCCCATCGCTGCCATTAGCACGATACTATACGTTTTTTTTATAATTGTAAAACAACGATCCGCTGCATGCCGGGCAAACTATTTTTATATGTTTGCCTTCGACCGCTCCAACACAATTCGGCATTCCCGTTTTAAAGTAAAACCTTTACGAATACAAAACAAAAGATTCAACTTCAACATGGAAACCTAGATGGTCACTACAAACCTGTCTGATATTTGTTTCCATTCATGCTCATTGGGCTGAGCGACGTAGACGTCATGCAGTTCTGTCCATAAGGCATTGCAAGTATCGTAAACTATCTCCCTTACTGTCGATACCCCCATTTTGTGCGACCAGGCGAGATATTGTGGGCTGCATCCTTGCGATAAGTAGCTAAAATGGACACATTTTTATTGAACCATTTCGTTGCATTCGTGACTAATATTACTTACATCAGTGTCAGTGCCAAGCGAGTTTCTTCATTTATTGGCGCTCTTCTTTAAAAACGCCGTAGTCTTTCTTTTATCAATGTCAAAAGAGTTTGAAACTTGGGAACACTCATCCTGGTGGCTTTGAAAAAGTGCTCCTCGTCCTCCAGCTTAAGTTGTTGAAAACATGTTCCATGGAACCCAAACTCATTCATGGTGAGGTTCGCAGGACGCACCCACCACCTCCTTTTCAACCGCTTGCTCGCCTCCATGTACATCTCGTACATTGTGCTCATTATGCACATAATTTTTATTATCCGCAACAATCTTTCAATATTGGTCATTTTTGCACGCACTCACAATTAAAGCAAACGAAAACGAAAAGATTTTACTACAAAATTAATATTATTGTAAACCACAAAATGTCAACTAAAAACCGTTCCGTCGCAATAGTGTTTACCGTTCCCGTCGCAATTGTGTTTACCCGTCCGTATTTTCCCGACTGGAATGGATCAGCTGTTCGCCACCCGTCGGCCCGTTACCCGCTATCCGCTGCAATTCTGTTTACGGCATTAAGCTTGAAATACTTTGGAAACGACGGGCTACGGACCACAGCTGTCAAATTATTTTAACACGTACTCTTATGTAAATAATTATTTTGGCGATGACACGGCAACACTGCGACTAGTCCAAAATGTAGCTGTGGCCAGATTGGATCTATTTCTATTTTTCTAGCGACAGATAAGATTCTTTCTCTTCTTTTATGTCAAACTCAAACAAATTCATGTGTAGGTGCCGCGTTCAAAAAAATCACGTTGCCGTCGACTACCTTAAGGTCGTGTAGGTGGTGATGTCGTTTTCGATGTGTTCAGAGCTTTAAAGGCCTATTCTGCTTGTTATTCTGTGTTTATACACGGAAACTTTTGTCGACGCGATTTTTCATATTCCCTTTTGGTGTTGCTCGTTTCATTTACACACGTTTCATTTACACACGTTTCATTTTTTTGTCAGCTATGCATCGCTAACTCATTTTACACCAGTGGTCGGCAAAACTGAAAGTGAGATTGTGTTGGTGAGCGCAGAGCAATTTGAGGTCCAGGGGTTTAAAGCGTATCGCATGGATTAAAGTTAAGGAATGTGTGTCAGAATAATAAAATTTCCTTGAAAACGGTAATGATTTTGTTTTTTCGTTACAAAATGATTATTGTATGTATGTACATTAGAGCGGTCCAAAAAGATTTTTCCGAGTCAGGGTTGGGGCACCTTTAAAATTTTTCCTCTTGCCGAAAGAGCCAAACTTTACGTTTCAAAGTATAAATGTAGAGGATGCTCATGCAATTTTTATATTTTATTTTAGAAGTATATTGTCCATATATGTATTAACCAAACAATTAGTTAATCAACCTTAGACCATTTCAAATTTAAATTAGCTGAAAAAATATTACATGCTTCAGTTGTCGTGGCAACACTAGACTTTTATAAAAATCATCAATATTTTTGTCAGTCTCAAAGGGATTCAGAAGCACATTAAGTTGGTATAGATATTACAAATACCAAAAGGAAACAACTAAGGTTGCGCCCTCTTCTCCGATGACAATGCCTCCCCCCCCCGTACAAAAATTATCATTTTCGATTTTTATTCAAGGAATGACTATTTTGTAAAGCTAGTCTACAACTCTCAAGAAAACAAAAAAAATAATAATGTAAATGAAGTTTAAGAACTTGAAAAAATCGTCTATCAAAACTTCTTAAATTAGTCTGCTGCGCTCAAGATGGCAAAGTAATTTTGAAAGTTTAGTTTTGACATTATATTCCTGCTCTCCTTTAAAGTGACACAAGAGGCTTTTCTTTTCAGTAAAGGCATTTGAAATCATGAAGGCTGTTCAGGATCTTGTGCATATGATCTTGCATTTGTATATTTCGGTGCATTTGTAAATTCACAACAATTAAATGCAAACGGTTGACATGGTGGCACGAATAAAATTTGCAAATGCAATTCCAAATGTAAATCCAAGACCATTTTCTCAATACCCCGAACAGCCTCATAAAGTATTTTTTAAGGTAATTTTTAATCGTACATATAGGTGTAAGCGACCACTGTAGCCTACGAAACTAAGCAACGGAGCTCCGCCTATGTTGCTTCGTTGCTGTCTCAGCAACGACCAAGGCTGCCAGTGGTGGGTGAAAAATCCGTACAAAATCCGTAGGCTCAAATTTGTTTGGCGAACAAAAAAAAAATCGTTATTATGTTTCTAGGGCCAACTTTCAATTTCCTATAGGGTAGTTTAAGGAGCTTTTCGGCCGGTTTAATAAAAAGCAG